TGAGCACATTGTAAGCCGCCCTGAGTCTCCAGAGAAGGGCGGCATATAAATCAAATTAAAAAAATAATAATAATAATAAAAAAAAGATGTGTTGCTTTTGATACTATAAGAATTAGGATATTCTTCTTCTTGAGTCAGAAGCTTAGGCTGGAAACTCCATTTGCTGCTACACTTGAGGAAACTACTCTGAGCTACTCTGTGATATTTCAGTGACAAAAATAAAACCAGATGTGATCTTCAGCAACATTTGTCTCGCTTGGCTGCCTTGTCTGAGGGACAGGCTGGCAATGAATTTCTAAAATGATGTATGGCATTTCCATTTTTCCTGGCTAACAAAGTAACCATCCGCTGCCGTAATAACCCGAATCTGGGTGCAATTTTTCTCCCTAATCGAAAATGTGTAGATAGGATTATTCAGCAGTGAAAAGGACTAGTTCCATCTGTTAAATTAAACCATGGAACCGAAAATGGATTCTAATCAGTGGTGAAATCCTCCGCGGTTTGCCACCGGTTCGCTGCCCATACATGCATGGTGTATGCCAAATGCACGCTGCGTGCATGCATGTACAGTGCGCACCAAATGCACGCTGCATGCGCATGCAGTGCATGCCAAATACACACTGCATGCATGTGCATGCGCAGTGAGCACCAAACATATGCTGTGCACACATGCGCAGTGCACGCCATACTCGCACTTCATGCAGAAAAAGGATGCTTAACAAGATAAGTAGAACAGCAGGGGGGAACAGCTGTCCAAGCTATTTAGATTCACTAGAAAGCAGGATTCCCTGCTTTCTAGTTAATATAAATCGTGCGACACAGCTGATCGTCGGAACCGGTAGCTTTTATTACTACCGGTTCACCCGAATCAGTGCGAACTGGTAGGATTTCAACATTGATTCTAATGCAATGTTAGGATTAACTCTAGTTAAAAAGGAAAAAGCTTCCCCCTTTTTTTCCTATTTTGGAGGGAAGAAATAGTCTGATTTTTGGAGGATGGGTTTTAGAAGAAAGGAGGGGAGAAATGGCATGTAATATCTCTATTACAGAATTAAGTATTCTCTGGATCTTTAATGGCTTTGATATATATATATATATATATAATTTGATTTATATGCCGCCCTTCTCCGGAGACTCAGGGTGGCTTACAATGCATTAAGCAATAGCCTTCATACTTTTGTATATTTATACAAAGTCAGCTTATTGCCCCCACAATCTGGGTCCTCATTTCACCTACCTTAGAAAGGATGGAAGGCTGAGTCAACCTTGAGCCTGGTGAGATTCGATCTTACTTTAATTGCAGACAGCTGGTGTTAATCACAATGCTATCAGTCTGCTGAGCCACCAGGCCCTGATTTTTGTTGCAAAAGGATGCATACATTTTCTCTTTAAAAATTCATGCACTGAACAGCCAGTCAGGCTGTTTTTAAGTGGCCTCACTTAGAAATGTTTAGATATCTTATCCAGCTAAGGTTTTCTAAAAAGGGAAACAAGTATCTTCCTACTGGTATGAAAATTACATACAGCCCAAGTGCCTGCAGGACTGTCTTCTCTGACCTCATCAACTCATCCAAGGGATCTCCCCATCCCCCAGAGAAAATTGTGAGTGGTGCACCATGTTCATGAAGTGTGGGGAACTGAGCTAGGAGATTCTTTCTAATAATGCCCCCATACTTTGGGGCAGCCTCTCCTTGGAAGCTAGACTAGCTCCTTCTAGAGTTCCCCCCTGGAGTCTGGTTAAAAAGCAACTCTTCCAGAAGACATTTAGGTGCTAAATGTAGTCCTTGATTTACAATCCCAATTGGGACTAGAATTTCCATTGGTTCCCTTGTACATCACTTTTTTCAGTGCTATTGCAACTTCAAACAATTGCTAAATGAATGGCTATAAATCAAGGATTACCTGTAAAGGGTTCTCATCAATTTTGAGTTTGCTTTCTGATGTGTTGTTTTATATATGTCTATATTAGGGTTGCCAGGTCTGCTTCCCAAAAATAGCGGACTAGCGGGGGGGAGGGGGGTTACGTAGTTAAAAAAAAAAATTACAATTAAATTATATATTTTCTTACAAACATTTTAACACATATTAAAATAATCACTTCAAAACTTTACTTAAAATTCAAAACATCAAATATATTATAATAATATGTAAAATATTAAATTACATTTTACTTTGCTGTCGTGTGTATTTTTTATTTGACTGCGCAGCTTTGATCAATTCTTTGTGTTTAAGGAATAATTCTTTAATTTCAGTACAACACTGAGAAATATTAAAAAATATACAAAGTTCACTTCGAACTGATACAAGCAGTCGGTTACGTTCGTCAGTCCACAAATTTCCCATGACGCTAAAAATTCGTTCAACGTTTGCTTTTGATACCGGAATTGATGCACAATACTGGAACAGTTTCAGTAAACTCGGAGCTGGCTCTTTCTTGAAAAAGTACGTCCACTTATCAAGGGATGAATCGCCCTGCAGATGAACATAAACTTCTTCTAAGGCAGAAATTTCATCAAAGAGAGTGTTGGGTGGAAGTTCTTCTCGCCATGGTGATAATAACCAGATGTTCGTCATTTCTTTTAAAGTTGGAGGATTATTGCGATCAATTAGATTGAAACAACTTAGCGTCTCATATACTGAATCGGTGAAATTATACCACTTTTCTAGGTACGCAATGGCTCTTTGATACATGTTGATGGCTTCTTTCTTGAACTTTTGCACGGCATTCTCAGGCAAATGTTTTTTACGTAAGGCAAATAAAACTTTCATTCCAAAAAACTGCTCCTTGTATTTTTTTTGCAAAGAATCACGCAGCTTACACATGATAATGTGAAGATCACATGCAAGAATTTTCTTGCTTTCCAGCTTCAGTAGGGTGTCTTGCATTATTGACATGAAGAAGTGCGTGAAATATAAATACAATTCTGAAATTGTTGGTTCATCGTCCTTTGCGAGTTCATTTTCCTGATCCGAAATAAGGTTCCAGATAACCTTATGGCACTCATCAGATCCAAGAGAAATAAAATACGATTTTAGAGGTATCCAGTTTAAAAGAAGTCTTTCGACCGCTTTAAACAAACTTAACCAACGTGTTGGAACATGGCGCAAAACTTCATGGAATTCTGACTCGCAAAACTCAAAAAATGATTTCAACTCTTCTCGTTTCTTCGCAGAATTCGAAAATTCGGCAAAAACCTTCAGCACTACATTTTCAATATCAAAAGATAACTGCTTTAATTCATTTTTTGCACTGTTGTATAAAATGTGATTATTGCAAAGAGCATTCGATCTTTGTCTCATTCTAACTTATGAAAAAAAAGACAAAACGCGATTCTCCTATCCTTATTCTCTTAGACTGTACAGCTTTAGATTATGTACCATTTCACCATAAAGCTTTTGAATAAAAAAAAGTCCACTATTTTGTGAAAAAAAATAGTGAGCATAATGTGAAAAAAGTGGACTGCCTGCTCAAATAGTGGACACCTGGCAACCCATTATTTGTATTGCATGCTTTTTATTGTTCTTAGCTGCTGGAAGTCTTGGGAGATTCAGTAGCATACAAAACTAATAAATAAATAAGCACATCTCCCTAGCAAGGAGCTATGATTAATGAAGTCTCTTAAAAAGCTCTGCTCATCTGATATCAAACCCACAGAAAATACCAAAACGTTGAATTGTAGGCTGCCCAGAGACATAGATTGAGAAATTGAACAAGCAAGCAAACTAATCAAAGGCGGCGGTGGGGGCGGGGTTTGCTGGAAGTACGTAGAGCACGCAGCAGCAAGGAGAAGGGCAATATCCAGCTTTTTCCAAGGAATTATGCCACGATTAATCCTGGAATCCAGAATCTAGACCATCAGAGCAAAGTTCTTTGCAATGTTCCAACGATGGGGAAGGCAAAACAATGAAAAGCATTTCGAGTGTGGTTGTTTGGAGCACCGTCCGGACCAAGCCTTGCTAAAATCATGAAGTCAGAATCGCCTGTCCGCAAAACAGCACGCTACTCATCCCTCCCTCAAGTTTTCATGAAGTGGAATCTCCCAATTGCTCACCAAACTTCGGGTTTGCTGAGATTTGGCTTTGTTTTCCCCCGCCTTCGGAACAAATCCGCTCTAACTGGCATTTCGTTTGATTCTGTTTAAAGTTTACCCACATTAAAAGACTCGCAAGAATTCCGTTTATTGTTCCACTCACATTTTTTGCACGGAAATCAAGCTTTCAGCATTCTGCCAGCACAATACAAGTAACTGCTGGGCTGCGCGGCTATAATTTTGTAGCCGATTATTGCCCAATAAACTGAGGAGCGGTATGTTGATCTAAGAGCCTGTTGCGATCCAGTTAATATAAGCGAGTAGTTGCCGCCAGTAGTTGTTCTCCCATCCCACTCCCGCCCTTTTGATCGCTCTCATTACCGTAAATTTCAATCAAGCATTTTTTTTAAATGAACAAGGAGCGACACGACTCTCATTAACGCCCCTCCCCCTTCCGTATTTAATCCCGAAAAATTGTTTTTGCTAGGCTGAACTAAGATCCAAGGAGTTTCCCCCAGTAAGTTCGAGCCTTGCCGCTACCTGCAACTCGCCCGGTGACTTCGGCCCTCCTCTGTCCAAACTGAGAGTTAATCGCGACCTACCTTGGAGGGTCGTTGTGTTGGTTGCTAGCGCTTGGATTCCCCACCCCCGCACCCCGAGCGTCTATTGCGACGGCTAAGCACTGTTGAGGTAGCCAGAGAGGGCACCTTTTGTAGTCGGGGACTTGTGTGGGGATAGCGTTATTCTGTGTTGATATTTTAATCCTTAGGGCGTTTTACACTTTATTGATAAGCGGCCTTCGGGCGATACGAATCTGCCACCCACGCCCCTCCTCACGCCCCCTTAGCCTATTGCGGATCTGCTCCGCCGGCTGCTGCCTCCCGCGGGGTGGGAACAGAAGAGGGAAGAGCCCATGAATCCCGTCCTGCCCCGGCTCGCTGCGAGCCAAGGCAGCGAGAGGGGCGGGCAGTCGAAGAAAGGGGCGCACCCCCTGCCGGAGGAAGCGCCGCTGAGCCCGCCGGGCGCCGCGCCTCCTTTCCGCTGCATCCAAGGCACAGCTGGATCGCATCGACGAGTGGGCGGGAGGTCGGGCAGGCGGGCGATGGAGGCTGCTCGTCAGCCCCTCTGCTCGACCCGGCTGCCGACGTAGCTCGGGCTTCGACAGCCGGCTGAGAGGAGACCTCGCCGCCGTCGCCGCCGCTTTCTGGCGCCTGCCGGAGCCTGGAGGTGAGTCCGGCGGCTGCGTTGGGCGCTCGCCGCTTGCCGTCCCGCCAAGCGCGGGGTGGCTTCTTCCCTCTGCGTCCTCCGACTCCCTCTTTTGTGGAAGTCCAGGCATCCCTCGCTCCTCCTGGCCAGAGAGAATCGCCTCTTTCTCTCCCTCCCCAACCCCCCTTCCCCGCTTGCAACTTTTGTCCTCGGCTCCGGGATGCGGCCTCCGGAGTCTAGCCTTTGCCAGGTTGTCCTCGCTTCCTGCTGCCCCTTTCGCAGACCCTTCGCTGGTTTGGTGTTGTTTTTTTCTGTAGGGGAAAAAAAAATTACCGAGCTTTTCTTCCCCCTCTCCCTCCCCCCTCCCGCCCGGACAGCGGAGCCGTCGCGCCCGCCCTTCGGACCGCTTCTGCTCTTTCAAATGTCCCCTCCATCCTTTCTTCTCATTTTAAGGCGCCCCCTCCTGAGCGGACGCTCCCGTGTACACAACACACCCCCAGAAAAAGCGGGAGAGGAGAAATCTCTGCGATTGTCCCAATGAATGGGCTAATTTAGCTGTTATTAACCCACGGTGTCAACGCCTTTGGTTCTTGGGTGTTATATTTGCGTCGACTGGGCTTGGTCACTGCTCTTGTTGCTGAAGGTTCAGGCGGTCCTGTGTTGGAGCCTGGCTTCTCTCTCCAAACTCTATACAGGGTTTGAGTACTGTATATACCCCATGCATGCGGCTGCTTTTATTCTTCTGTAGAAGAGTCAGTGGCTCTTGTGAAAAAGAAGTGCACTCTTCTTTCTTTTCTTTTCCAAATGTCCTGTTGCATCCAGGCAGCCTTATAGACATGATCTAGTTGCAACGGCTTTCCAAGCACAAGTGGCAGACAATAGATGAAAATATCTGAGAAAGCAAACCTTGAGGAGGGCTGCGCGTGGTAGCAAGTGGGCCAAGACAAGTATGGATGGTTTTAACTCAGATGGTTTTTCAAGTGGTCAGATACATTCCTGGAGGTCAGGTCAGTCAGAGGCTGCTAGTCTTCAAGATTCCCTGTAATCTCTGAATTGAGGGCACATGTTTCCAAAGACCAATGGCAGAAAAGTAGCAGGAGGGGACTCTTTTCCTCTTGCTTGGGAGCACACAGAACCATCGAGTTTTCCACTGTGAGAAACAAAGTTGAATTAATAGGCTTTGGCCTGTTCCAGATCCTGTTCTTGAGCACAGGGAGGCAGGATAATTAGGCAGAATCCTGGGGATGTTACCACCGGGGTGTGGCCTTTCTATGTGAGTTGCCAAAATAACTTGGCTGTGGGCATGCTTTGGCTTGGTCGGACGCATTTGCCCTTCTCAGGCTGCAAAAATATTCTTTTATAAGCTTGAACAAATAGAATTTTCTTTTCTAAAATCATCTCTCAGGTGAGGTAGGGAGTGTTTGGGAGGAGGGTTGTGAGGATGTGCTCTGAATAGATCTTGGTTTTTAAAAAGATAAACTTTTAAGTTAATTTGAAGCACTTGTTCTTTAACAGAGCCCCTGATTAAGGGCTGTCCGTGGCTCGAGGCATATGGGCCTGTTGGAAAGATCTGTCTCTTTCAATTAAAATCTATTTTTGATCTTCTTGAGAAGAGAACCTAGACTGAAGATGGGAACTTGGCAGTTGTTTAGTGTAACTGTGTACAATGTGAAGGGAAGTTAAAAGAAGCCAGTAGGACCTGTGATGGCGGCCTATGTGGATTTAGATCTTTGCATGAGTAGCTGGGAAGTACCCCCCCCCCTTTTTTTTTTTTTTGACATTCAGCCTTTTAATTTTCAGCCTATCCACATTTGACTTTTTCAGGGATTTCAATCAGCTATATGGTTGCCTCAGATTGTAGAATTTGGGCTAGGCATCAAATCAGAGATGTACTATTAGCACGATTTAAATCACTAGTAAAAAGGCTAAATTTAAATTAACTTGATTTAAATCATAATTTTTAAAGAGCAACTGTCATCTCTGTCCTGCAGTGGCTCCTCCTCTGACCCACTGTTGACTTACCAACAGTCCCAATATTGCAGAATATACAGCCCCATGCTACATAACTAAGCTTCATTTCATGCTGAATAAACTAAATTATTAATGTATCTTAAATAGAAAACTATCTTTAGATATATTTTTACTCCAAAAGCATTTTATTAAAATAAATTTGATAAAAATTTAAAAAATCTGATTTAAGTTTTTAAAAAATCATCAATTTTTATCCACCCTGAATATTAGGCACCAAAAAGAAGCCATGACATTTCCCTTGATAGTCATACTTTCTTCAGTGACACAAACCATTGTTTAGGAAAGAGTTGTTCCTCAGGATATCCAGGGTTATGTCCAGTTTTTGGTTCTAGGTTCATAAAAATAACCTCATAAGATTAGGTCTAAGGTTCACTGGGTCCAGTGGAGTCAGCCCTGCCATAGGAAAGTAAACCAATGTCCTTCAGATGGCACTGGGTAGGTCTGGAAATGGGTGAAGGTAGGAACTGGAGTCTGAATGGTGGCAAGAGTTCAAAAAGATTTGATTCCATGGTGAGGAGCATTGGCTAGCCAGATGCCTCTGGAACAGGGGTCCCCAATAGCTTGCGTGCGCGCATGCTCTTCTGCGCAGAAGCTTCTGCGAACATGCAGAAGCATTTTGATGATGTCGGGGGTCAGTGGGCAGAGCCTCCCGCCAGTTTTACTACCGGTTCTATACTACAGGTGCGAACCGGGGGCAAGCCAGCACTGGTCCCCCAACCCCCAGTCTGTGAACTGGCCCTGGGCCGCGGCATGCCAGCAACCGGGCTGAGCAAACAAGTGAAGCCCCATTCTGGGGGATGCATGTAGTACATGGAACCATGCCCCCCTTCAGTCCACTAAAAAAGTGGTCTCCACGGAACCGATCCCTAGTGCCCAAAAGGTTGGGGGCCACTGTTCTGGAAGACTGAGAATGTGGAAATCACACCTTATGGTTTAATGATCCAGCAATCCTGTTTTTGACATTAGCAGAACAGAGGTTTTGCCCTTTTCAGTAGCAGCCCCATCACAGAAAATTTCCAATAGAAAATTCATGTATTGTTCTCCCCCTTACCAATGAACTTTCAGAATTTGTGGATGAATTTGAAGCAGGTCTGAGGGGATGAGATTATCAAGGTTTTTTTTTTTTTTTAAATGTAATCCTCAACTTAAAACAGTTCATTTAGTGACGATTCGAAGTTACACCAGCACTGGAAAATGTGACCATTTTTCATACTTATGACCATTGTGCCATCCCCATGATCACATGATCAAAATTCAGATGCTTGGCAATGGGTTCATATATGTGACGGTTGCAGTGTCCCGGGGTCATGTGATCACCTTTTGTGATCTCACAAGCAAAGTCATTGGGGAAGCCAGATTCACTTAACAACAGTGTTAACTAACTTAACAACTGCAGTGATTCACTTAACAACTGTGGCAAAAAGGTCATAAAATGAGACAAAATTCACTTTACAGATGTCTCACTTAATAACATAGGTTTTAGGCTTAATTGTTGTCATAAGTTGAGGACTATCTGTAGTATGCGTTTTATTGTTTTTAGATAGCATGCTTTGGTTGTTTTATACATAGTATTTTATACTTTCATTTTGTTATAATGACATTTAAATCACTAAGATGGCTGCAAAACTCTGTGTACATAATATTTGTCCTATTTCTTTATAAAACTGTCCACATGCATTTTGGCTATTCTACTTCCTCTAGTGCTTTTTATGCATATACTACCCAGGAACAAAAGACAGATATTGCAGAGACCAAGTCTCTAACTCTTTCCCCTCTGGCCAATTTCTGCTCAAAACAACCCTTTCCTTCCCCCCCACCCCACCCCACTTGTCACATCACTGCAAAAGAGACTTGAGAAAAAAGATACTTGCAGCTGGGTGTCATGTGTAACATGAGTTGACGGCCATCACAACATCCTGAAGCAATGAATTCTTTCAGCCAATTGTGTGTTGTATGGAGCAAAATTTCCTTTTGTTTGCCTTGTCACTTTAGCCAGTCAGTTGAACTCTTTGATCTCAAACTTGTGTCATGTTACCTAGAATCATTTTCCTTGTTCCCATTTCTGTCTCTAGTCCCCAATTCTGTGACATTTGTCCACAGCCTAAGCTTTACTCATATTCATTCAAATAGAGATGGGTCATCTTGGAGCTTCGTTCTGTCTCCCTGTCTCTAATGGAATAGAACCATCAGTGGCTGCTAATCTTGATAATGGCATACCATTCTTAAATCAACAAAGAAGAGGCTTTTGCTCTCCCTAAGTTTGTAGGTTTCCAGGATGCATTTAGTTGCCCAGTGTGGCTGGACTTGCGGTGAAAAGAGTGCATCACTGAAGACTGTTCTTAGCAGCATGAAAAACCTTTGCTTTGTATAATTCTTTGCCAGTGCACTTTTAAATATTGTAGGAAGAAAACACCTTTCTTTCAGTCGTGATGGAGTGGTCTATCAGGAATACCCCCAAACCACTATTTTTGTTAAATAGCATAAAACTCAGCAAGCATGTGATCATTTTGCAGGAATCTCAGCATTTGGGAGGGAGCTGGTTAACTGCAACTTGGTCAAGGATTTGTCGTCTTTTGCTTCGGAAAGGCCAGGTGAGTCTGCATTCTTGGAAAAGTCTGTTTAATCTAGATGAGTTGTTGGGAAACATCTCTACAAAGAAAGCCTCTAGAGAGATAACAACAATTTGCATCGGCCCCCATCTAGACCTGGATGTTTGTTTCAGAAACTCTTGAGCTGCTTTCCAAGTCAAGTGACCCCCTTCCCATCCCAGGCTGCTCTTCGCTTGCTGTTTTGCCAGCTAGGGTTCCCCTTCTTCATTTGCTTATGTGCAAATTAATTGGGGGTTCTTTGAAAAGTACCTATGAATCATCCTTCCCCCAATTCTGCCTTTCATAAACTCCCACTCTAGGAGATCAGTTCCCTGCTCTTTGAGTAATTCGCTTTCCCAAAGCCTCTTGCCAAATCTCAAGCCAGCAACAAAAACCATCTGTTGTAATCTGTGGCCAGCACAACTGCGGTTCCTCGGACTTCTGGCCTCGAATGTCCTAGAGTTGTCAGGGAGTTCTGCTTTTGATTAAGCCAGGCAGGCAGCAGTTGTTATCCTGTCCTATGCTGCACATGACCCCAAGATGAGTAAATTAAGAGCTGGATGGCAAGATTTAGCATTGAAAAAGCAGACCAGGAAGATATAGCTATTCTCCACCCACTCATGCTATTTAAGAATTGAAGAAATTCTCTTCAGCTAGGATGACATAATCCATTATAAGCCATCTCTCTGCCCCACCCTGTAACTCCTACAGATAGTGTTAAGTTCCATAGAACAGGAAGTGCTTCATGGTAATTGGCTTCTGAACAAAGATCCCTTCTTGGTTCCTTGTGCCAAGGAACAGAGGTCAATAAGGGTGGGTGGACAAGAAGGGTCCATCCTCTCTGTAAAATATTCAGATAGCAGAAAACAGAAGTGGGTTAATGCAGAAACCAATACCCAGCAGGTTTCTGGCATTTGCCTCTGGTGTTCCAGATAGGAAGCAGATGCTGGCCCTTAAATGGAATAAATAGGCCATAGCTTCAACTTCAAGTAGAAGCATGCTTCCTGATTTGGGATTGGAATAGCAGCTAATGGTACATATGAAGAATAACTATTACCTCTTCTTGGAGATAAAATATATCTTAATATTATTATGCTTCAAGGTCAAAACCTGTCGTCTTCTTTGTTTATCTTCAAGCTGCATCTTACACTGTCTGGGCTGGAGAAGACTACCGGCTACCAATGATGGCAGCTCCTTTCTGCCCTTATTTAGTGATGGAGTGTGTATATACTGCTCTTACTCATGTGAGGGTACAGGTTGGAACATCTTAGGAAAGGTGGAAAGCAGCTAGGTATATTCCACTCAGGCAAGATGCCACTTTTGATTTGGAAGTGGAGAGGAACAAGGTTCAGAGGATATGTCTTGGATACAATTAAAGGAAAATTGTGGGGAAATGTTTTGGTTTTTTTTTAGATAACTCATTGCATGAAGACTGCAGCACTCTTGTCAGTACAGATCAGTGAACCCCTTTCCTTATTTTTACAGGCATACCAAGTAGATGAGTTCATTTAGCAGTTTATAATAGTAATGTGCAGTTTCAGATCTGAAGGGAGAAAGATGTTTCAGAATATAAATGTAAGCACATGTGGCAATTTTTGGCAATTCCTTGAACGAAACATAGTTTTTCTTTGCAGCTGTGTGGGATATTCTGAAAGACCTTTCCCCTTTTGGTTTGAACTGCACTGCAGAAGTTAGATATTCTTTCTCTCCCTCTCCCTTTTCTCTCTCTCTCTCCCCCTCCCCTCCCTCCCTCCCTGTCTCCATCTCTCTGTCTCTCACAAGCAGACATCAGAGGTTTGGTGAGCAGAGAGGATTCATCTTGTACTTTCATATGAATCCTACTCCAGCTCTCTGCGTGACTGCCTGAACCAATATTTTGCACCTGTTTCTGGTTTGTACAGATCTGACATCTCTGGTTCAAATGTAACAACAATCATAAAATACAACAAAATTGGATTAGTATAAACTATAGCAGTGGTTTTCTAAGTTACTTCAGGGGAAATGAGCATGTAAAATGGATCTTCTTTAGCTGTGCATTGCAAATTAAGAACAGTAAGAAGTACTGTATTGTCGACACAGTGGTACAATTTTTCAATATAGTAAGAAAACACTAGATGTCTTAGTAACATAGTTTGATAAGATCAGCAAAGGTGGGCACAGTTAAGTGAGGAACTGTCATCTCTTGGAAAAAAAACATGAGATATTTCTAGTGGGTAATCGTGAGTATTCATTTTAAGTTCAAAAGGTTTAAAAAGAACAAAGAACAACAAAAGTAAGAAAAGGAATAGTGAAAATAAACTAAAATTTTGAGAAAATATGTCAAGGTGAACATAGAACATGAATGAGTTATCTAAAAACTCAGGAAAGTAGATTTATGGTTAAAGATTAATTTTATGGTTAAATAGTAAACTTTCAACTAATGGGACGGAGTAAGTAAAAAGGAGCAGGTCTCTCTTTCTTTGAGCTTATCAAGAGAATGTTGAATAATGTCAGGAATGCTAGATAGCAGATACCACATTTTGGAGTAGAGGTATCTATCCAAAGCAATGTACCTAAAGAGCCCTTACATTATCCAATTTTGTTACAAAACTGTAAGAACAATGGACAATATCCCCTGTGGAGAAGTGGAAGATCTCCTTTATTCCTTAGATAAGTTGAAGAGAGATCTGGCTCCAGTTATGGATTCTTTTCAGGAAAAAGGGTAAGAAGGTTCTTGTTGGTGGGTTGCATCTGGCCCATCCATAATTTCCTCCATACTCCTGTGTGATTTTCACACAGCTGGACCTTCAAAACTTGCTCTCACTAAGGAGCAGAGGAATGGAAGAGCAGGAGTGGGATGGGGGGGGGGGAAATAAGAGCCACTAGGAGGAGAGAGACCACAACTGTCCTGAAGAAGGGGAGGGGGAATGAAAACAAGAAAGGTGCAAAAATTGTTCTGCTGCCTTACAATGAGTATGAGAAGTGAGTAGGGTAGAGAGGGGGAAGCCACAGAAAGTAAAGGATGAAATGAATTCTCCTGGGATCTGCTTTCCATAAAGGTGCAGTAGATACAAGTGGAAATGTGGAGAAAAGAGCCTTAAGAAGGGAGAATAGCCACATTAGTTTCTGTTGACTTTTAGAGGGGATAGGCAGCCAAGGAAGAATTCAGGAGAGACAAATGCTGTCCCTTGCATTTTGTCCCATGCAACAGAAAGGCAAAGAAGTCTAAACAAAACCTCATTTATGCATGCATTGTTTTTCCCCTGCATCTTACTTTACAGTAAAAAACAATCATTCTATCGAACATCTTTCAAAAATGCAGCGTTTGCTTTCTGACCTGTAATACAGGTCATACAAAATCCACCCTTGATTTGTCTCTGAACTAACCACATGATGAGATGGAAGAAGAGCGTTGAGCACTTTATTGTACAATTGCCCTGTTTTTTCAGAGAACTTTAATAAGGACCCAGATGATGTCATGTGCCCTTTAGAATCCTTTTATGCCTTCCCACCATTTCTCTCTCTCTCTCTCTTTTTTTCCTTATCAGTAAAATATGTTAAGAAAGTAGGGATGGAATTTCTGCTTAAGATCCCTCTGTTTGGAAATACTCACACAGTGATACAGAGACATTTTAAATGCTGTGTGTTAAGATTTGGCTCCCATCCTGGATTGATTTCACCTACCCCTTTCAACATAACCTACATTGCATGATATCAGAGGACTGGTCCCCACTTTTCAATTAATAAATATTTGGAAGTAAATAATTGATCAGATGGTAAACAGCTTCTGGATCACTTGGAAAAATTATCTGAATTCTGAATTGACTTCTCTTTTTTTTTAGTAATGGTGTAAGGGAATGACATAATGTCCTTTGTAAAACTATGCTACATCAATGTACCTTATGTCCTAAATAGAAACTTCACTGGATATTGATATATTGATAAGGACAGTTCTGATGTCTCTTTACTAGTTGAAGATCCATCTTGGTGATGTTATGAATAGACAAGCCTCTTGATCTTGTTAGACTTGATAGCAGATTTTGATATCATCCATCAGTCTTTCTGGACCAACTGTGAGGTTCAGGAGTAGGAGTTCAGTTAGTGGTTTCCTCCTTCCTAACTAGTTGTTTTCAGTTCATTGGGAAAGAGAATTCAACCCAAGTTACTCCAATTTAAAGTTCCTCAGAATATCTGCATGAAGCTGCTGATTAAGGTCATTCATAGGCCAGGGAATCATCAATAGGTTAATGATATCCAGCTCTACATATCAGCCCTTATCCAGACATTTGTTGCAGTGGATGTCCTGTCCTGATTTCTGGAGATTTTTAGGGTCTGGATGGGAAGTAACATGTTGAACCCTAGTAAGAGAATTCAAGGCCTTTTAGCAGGATCATGCTCCCTCCTTCAAAATTGGTATGAAGGAATATAGAGATAACCTTGATAAAGGAATGCAAGAATAATTAAAGGGAACTGACAGGCAACTCAGTCCTGTGAAAGGAGAAGTCATAAGAAAAACTCAAAACAACCCCACCTTGAATCTATTTGGTAAAAGAGATATCAGGTTCTATTACTATTCCATATAACAGTAAAGTAGTATTCCAGGAATCCTTGTTTTGCTTACTTCTGAACTGGAAGGACTGACAACAGATTTGCAGTCTGGAAATCCTCCTGGACTTCTGCTGGAACAGCAGATGGAAACATGGCCATGAGAGTCTTTGCAGAATTACATTTAATGTATCAGTGTGCCATTTCCTGAATCAGGATGCATTGCTTATAGCTGATCATGCCCGCATCACTTCACAGTTGGTCTATTGCAGTTCACACCTGATGGGGTGTCATTGAGACCATCTAGATGCTAAACCTAGTCTGCGATGCAGCTGCCAGGATAATTAGAAGCTGCACTGTCTCAGCACAAGAAGCATTTTACAGGAAAGAAACAGTAAAGAAAAATAGTTAATTACTGGGATTTATTGGAAAAGAAACATGGAGAATATGAGATTAAATCAAAAGAGCAACTAGCTGTA